TGGTAATTCATGGCATAATGTGTACATTGTGTCTCTGTTAATATGATATATCTTAAGTGTTTTCATTCACAAATTGTGTCCATTCATGTTTGTAAATGAAATGTAACATTTATTGTCTTCATTGGAAATGAGCTCAATTATTATCCTTACAGATTTTTTATCAAAGACATTGTGAATTGGCTTTATTATTGGAATTCTCTGACATTACATATTTTGGCCCATTGGCTTGTCCTCTTGGAAAATAATTGGTAGGTATTTTAACTCAAAACAGAAAAAAAGAAGGATTTGAGAATTGAAATCCTAATTACTTTAGAAGAATTCTTGATTTATCTTTTCTTTCCTCAGTCCTCTTAATTCCATGCTTTACAAGGGGCCTAGAAAGTAAAACAAATCCTATGTTCTGTGGTTCAGAGACTAGCAAAAATTTTGATAATGTCTCTGTAGTGAGCTGAATGGTGGCTCTCTCAAATGATATTTCTACAGTCCAGTCCCTAGAATCTGCAAATATTATTGTAGATAGAAAAATATTAGATAAATATTTTGGAAAAGAGGACTTTATCCTTAATTATTTGGCAGAGCCTTAAATCCAATGGCAAATGTCCTTATAGAAATGAGGCAGAAGGAGATTTGACAGGTACGAAAGGAAGAAGATGAAGGGATGATGAAGGCACAGAGTAAAATGATGAGGTCACAAGTTCAAGAATGCCAAGGCAGCCCTTAGAAGCTGAAAGAGACAAGGAATTATTTCTCCTCCAGAAAAACAGGCAGCCTGGCCATATTTCAGACTTTCAGCCTCCAGAACTGTGCAAGAATAAATTTTAATTGTCTTAAATGACCAAGTTGTGGTAAGTATTTATTGTAACCTCAGAAAACTAATACAGCCACTAAGACCATAGAACCTTCTGCCCCAGAAGCTCATGAAATTGAACAGGGTGTGGTTCAGAATAGAGCTACTCGAGGAATAGGAGATTAGCTTCCTAAGGGAGAAAGAACGTGTGATGTTTTATAGAAGAATGTAGTACTTCCATTCCTGAAGACCTCACCTTACCTTGGGTGATTTGGAGAATGACCTCATAGCTGGTTCTATAGACCTGAGATTGAGGATGAGATCTATTCCCTTGGTTTAATAGGGGTAATTTTGGCTCATGGCTGAGAAATGGATTTCAAATTCTGACCATAGTGTGGTTTTTGTTTGTTTGTTTGTTTAGTTTCTGTCTGTTTTCAATTCTAGATGTGTGTTCTCTGATTACAGCCATTAAACTGTCAAGTACCCAGCAAATGATCATACAGTAGAAAGAGAAGGAAAACCTGACAATAATAATTAGACTTAAACTAATCTTAAATTATTTTAAACCTAGAAGTTGAAACAACTATAGATGGGAACTTGACATACCATTTTGACACCTCAAACAAGGATGATCACACCTTCATATAGTAATAGACTCTCCCTCACCTTAGGCTGAAGAATAACCACAGAAGGGACTAAAAACCAAACTGTGTAGCTTTACACTTAGCCTCTTATACAAATTTAATATCAAAGTAAATTTAAAAATTGTGTACACAACTTATTTAGAAAATATAATATTGTTTTTAAAATTTTAATTTATTTTTTACATGAGCTCTAATTATTATTATTATTGTTATTATTATTATTATTTGCATTACAATTCTTAATACACCTTTTTGTGATATACAATATTTTATGAAACAAAACTGTCCTTAGAAATGTGAGCATGGTGGTGCATATCTTAATCCTGGCTACTCAGGAGGCTGAAGCAGGAGCATCATAAGTTTGAGGCCAGCCTCAGCAACTTAGTGAGAACTTGTCCCAAAATAAAGAATAAAAGGGATTGGGGTTGTAGTTCAGTGGTAAAGCACCCCTGGGTTAATCCCCAGTATTACACACACACACACACACACACACACACACACACACTCACGAGGGGGAGGGGTCGTGTTAACATACTAGTGACTGGCCAGTGTTGATCTTGGGCTTCAGCATGCTTGTAAGGAGATTTTGTGAGGATTCCACTTTCCCTTTCCTTTTTTCACACTACTGCAAACATTCATTCATGTAGCAATCCATGAAGTATAAGGTTCGCTTCATTTATTTTCTCACTAGCTCATGGCAATTAAAGTAGTATTACCTTGTGTGAATTTGATTGTGAAAACAGACTCAAATACATCCTAATTATGTGGTAGCAACTATCATGCGCTCATCCAGATACTCCTGAATATGCTTAAAATTAAATGCAAAAGTAAAACATGCTTGTAGAAAATGTGCAGACTATCATTAGATTCCAGCCTGAAATACACCCACCTCTCAGAGTATGTATAAAAAATACACATAATTTGCTGGGCATGGTGGTGCACTCTCATAATCCCAGCGACTCAGGAGGCTGAGGCAGAAGAATTGCAAATTCCAGCCAGTCAGAGCAACTTGGCAAGACCTTGTCTCAAAAATTAAAAAATAAATAAATAAAAAAGTCTGGGGATGAAGCTTAGTAGTAGAGCCCCCAGGTTCAATCCCCAGTACAAACATCTTACCCGAGTACTTAATGTTATCATGAAGCATTTGACTCTTGTTCCATTTGGACAATCGAATATCTTTGTTTTTGGGGAATAAGCCATGACCCATTTGGCCTCACTAGCCCCAGACCCCTGGGGATTGGTACCCTGGGAATCATAGGTTAAACCATCACCATCCTCACTTCCACAAGTTTTAAATTGGTTGGCATCCTGAGGTGTTAATGAATGATTGATTTTGAAATTCACATTCCCAATACAACATACCTGCAATCTAAATGAAAGAAAATGGTCATGCTCCACAGTTAGGTAACCAAATAACTGAAGCAAGACAGTATATCTGCTGGTTCTTCACCCTGGGATTCAACCACTGTGAGTAGAAGATATTTGAAAACAAAAATGTATCTGTACAAACATACACAGGTTTTTCTCATCATTATTCCCCAAACAATACAGTATAACAACTATGATAAGTAATCTGGAGATTGTTTAAAGTATATGGGATGATGTGCACAAATTATATGTAAATATTATGCCATTTTATTTTATTTTATTTTTAGTCATTGATGGACCTTTATTTAATTTATTTATTTAGATGTGGTGCTGAGAATTGAATCCAGTGCCTCACACATTCCAGGAAAGTGCTCTACTACTGAACCACAACCCCAGCCCCTCTGCCATTTTATTTTATTTTTGGTAGTGGGAATTACATTCAGGGACACTCCATCACTGAGCCACATCCCCAGCCCTATTTTGTATTTTATTTAAAAACGGGATCTCACCGAGTTGCTTAGGAGCTCACTTTTGCTGAGGCTGGCTTTGAACTCGCAATCCTCCTGCCTCAGCCTCCCAAGCCTCTGGGATTACAGGTGTTCCTGGCAATATTCTGCCATTTTATACAAGGGACTTGAGCATCCATGGATTTTCCTGTCTTTGGGGGTCCTGGACCAATACTCTGCAGATACCCAGGGACGACTACATATAAATTTTTAGAAGTGTTTGGGGAAGTTGTTTTCATTATATTGTATTGGTAGGGCAAGGCACAGAGTGTGCCTATTTGTGTGACAGTTTTTCCCTTATGTTGTCCTCTTTCTTATCTTGCTCTTGTGTTCCTTCATCTTTCCCTTCTACTTTAGTTCCTTACTTCCCTCTAGGATCAATGTAATAAATTTTTCCATAAAGCTAAATATATTTAATGTAAAGAATTATTTTTATTATCATATTACATTCCTTATAATATTATGCCTTATAATTTTATATGGAAATAAATGCTAGATGGGAGCACACCTTAATCCCAACAACTAGAGAACTGAGTCAGGAGAACCACAAGTTTGAGGCTAGCTTCAGCAATATAGTGAGACCCTCAGAAACTTAGTGATACTCTGTCTCAAAAAAAAAAAAAAGGATTGGAGATGTAGCTCAATCTTAAAGCACCTCTGGATTCAGTCTCTTGTGCCAAAGGAGAAGAGGAGTGGGGGAGGAGGGGAGGAAAGCTTCCTTTTATAAATAGTAGTGGGTTGTTTTTAAAAGTGTCTTCATTTGACAAAATAAGAAATTGGCAATGTTGGGTTTTCCTCTAAATATTTTGTGCATACAACATCTGGAACCACTTGTCTAGAGAATCGAGCAAAGAGAAGTGATAGCAGGAAAGAACAGTGAAATTTAGTAAATTGAGTTAAGTTGAATCAGTTCCATAACATACTTGCAATGCGGGAGGGGGGCCTGCGGGAAGTAATAGCGGGAGTGTGTGTCTCCTTTGGGAGTCTGGGAAGGCTTCACCGAGGAGGTAGCTTTTGAGCCGGGCTTTAAGGATCAGCAGGGAAGAAATGGCAGGGCATTCCAAGCAGAGTGCATAATGCGAGCAAAAGCACAGAGCACAAAAGAAACACTACGTGTCCAGCAGTTCTGAGTAGCTTGGTAGCTGGAGCGTAGGGTTCTTGAAGCGAGGTGATTAAGGGTGAGGCAGGGACTATTTTTTTTTCTACTTGGCGTTTTTCTTCTACAGCTCTTTGCACAGTGCTGGGCACACACGCTACAGGAGCTTAATAAATACTTGTTGAATTGAGACAGGATGATCGAGTACGCTGGGAACAAGGACATATGAATCCTTTCTCACGCACCCGCGGTGTGACCTTGGCCAAGTCCCTTTTCTCAGGGCTGCGGTTGCTGCTTAGGTGCGAGTGGGAAAGTGGAGGAGGAGGCTGGTTTGAGTCAGTCCTTCCAAAGCCCTGAATCCCTGATTCGACGCGTCGGGCGGGGCGGGCCACGCGGGGCTGTGGCCCGCGGAGGTTCAGTTGCTCCTCCGCTCCAGCAGGGGGCAAGGGGAGCGGCTTCCCGCCGCTCTTCCTATACTGGACGGCGTCTGGCCGACTGCAGCAGTCGCAAGCTGCGAGCGCAGTGGGCGGGGCCGCCCAAGCGGGGCGGTGGCGCTGCGCTGACTGGCTGGGCGGGGTAGTGGCAGTGGCAGCGGCAGCGGCAGCGGCGGAGGCTGCGGCTGCAGAGGCCACTGGGGCGCCGACTGGGTGGCCGGCGACCCTCTCTGCCCTCGTGCAGCCTCTTCACACAGATCCGCACTCCCTGAGCAGCGGGGACCTCGGTGCTCAGCCCGCCAGCGAGCTGCGGTGGGCACACCCTGGAGCTGCGGTGACAGCGGACAGGTTAGAGTGGGGGCAGGGGAGGGCGCGGGAACAGCCCAGGGCCAGAGAAGGAGTCCAAGCCGGACAATCTCCAGCCATGTCCGACGAGGCGTCGGCCACCACTTCCTACGAGAAGTTCCTAACCCCGGAGGAGCCCTTCCCGCTCCTGGGACCCCCTCGTGGCGTGGGCACCTGCCCCAGCGAGGAGCCAGGCTGCCTGGACATCAGCGACTTTGGCTGCCAGCTGTCCTCCTGCCATCGCACCGACCCGCTCCACCGCTTCCATACCAACAGGTATGAGCCGCCTCCGAGGGCAGCGGTGGACTTCCCATATCGCTGCCTATTGCTGGAGAACGCGGGGTCGCGCCCCAGCAGCTTTTCAGGTCCTTTGCCTGAGGCTGAGCTTCCAATGGCCCCCTCCCCCACCTTCCTTCGACCAGCGCTCATTCCCGGGCTCTTTCCCTCCTCCTCCTCCTCCTCCTCCCTATTTTCACCCCTGCCCTCTGATTTTCCTTCCCACTGGCGTTACTAGGTTTCTTTCCCCCATTCATCTTCTGACAACAGCGTTATCTTGTTTTCCTGCCCCCTGCTTTTTCCCTTCCACCTCCCCATCTGTACCCTGCGAATCTCAAACCCCCACCCTTGATTTTTAGATGCTCCCCTGTTTCCATCCATCTGCAAAAGTTTAACCCATTCCATTTCCGGTACGCTATAGAGTGAATTTTGGGTGGCTCAAAAATCAATCCATGGATCTTTGAAAGGTGGCACTTTTGAAGCTCGAACCTTCTCTTTCCCAATTTTTAACCTGTCTTAATAGTTATTTTCCCATCCACCTCCCCCATTTTTTAGCGGAGCGCTGTAAAAACTACCCCCCCTTCCTTTATGAACTCTTTGCCTGAGCGCTTTAGGCCCTGCCAAAATGTATAAAACTTAAAATCTGGAAGATTCCTTCATGTAACATAATCCTTCGTTTGCTTCCTCAGTATGGGGTTAGAGCAAGGCTTAAAATGAACTTGTTTATACAAATTTTATTCAGAGGGTGCATCTTCTAACTGGTTTTATTGGAAGGCAGTGTTCTGGAGAATTCTCCCACGAAAGTACTTAAGTGTTACATCAAACGTTGTGGGGGATTTGAGGATGTTTTAGATATAAGCCTCAACTTTTAATAACTGAGGATATTTGAGATAGGCATACAAAGGACTGGGAGAATGTGTAAAAGGGACTTGAGAGGGTTCAGCTGTAGAAAATACTGGAGGTAAGTAGTCTAGTTCTTATTTCTGATCCAAGTTTACTATGTGAGTTTGATCAAATCCATCCACAATTTAGTGTTTTGTATATTTTCCCTCCTACCCACTTAAATCAATCTAGATCTACTGAGTCTCTACCATAAAACATGATTCTTATCTAAAAGAAAGTTATAGTCTGTGGAAACAAAGATGCTTTAATACTCTTTCAGAACATCAGCATAATACAAAATGGCAGTAAATTTTTTACAACTATTCCAAGTTTTTATTGCAAAAATGAAGAAACTGAGGCTCAGAGAGAAAAAGACTGATTTGAAGGTCACAAAACCTTTCCTAATCAGGGAAACGCCTAGTCAGACCTGGACTACTCCTTTGGAGCCAGTGATGGAACTTGGATCAGAACCAATGGATCTAGGATTATCAATGGTCATTGTAGTTTCTTAGACTGACTCACAGAAGCCTGTTTAACCATGATGTAACTAACATGAATGTAAAATTGATAAAATCAAGTATTAAGGTTATTTGTTTTGAAAAATAATATAAAAGAATGCCTTTGCATATATTTGGTATTCAAGTTTTGCAGTAGTGGAGTAAGTTACATACCCAGGAAAGCTAAATGATTTTAGAATTAGCTGGCTCTGATGATGAGGGCAAGGAAGTGGGGGCAGAATTTGAGGGTCACTGTTGCCAAAACTGGTGGAGGTTATGGGGAGTGAAGCAGTGAGAATAATATGTTTCTTACAGTTTGTTCTGTTCCTCCTCCTCCCCATTATTTCCTTGTATTTTTTCCCCTTTAAAAGACTGTAAAAAGGTCAGGGCTGTTTTCCAGAATGGGGCAGTGAGGGTGAAAGGAGGTTCCTGTCAAGGCCAAGTTTGTCTAAGTCAAGCTTTATTTTTTATTTTTTTTCTTACTGCCTTTTTTTTTTTTTTTACAGTACAGGGGATTGAACCCAGGAGTGCAGGACCACTGAGTCCCATCTTTAGCCCCAGACAGGGTCTTCCTAAAATGCTTAGCCTGGCCTTGAACTTTTACTCCTCCTGCCTCAACCTCCAGAGTAGCTGGGATTATGGGTGTGCCACACCTAGCACTGCCTGCTTTTTTTTTTTTAACTCTCCCTTTTCTACTGTATTTTTCACAAGGCTTGGAATGGTAGCATGGGATCTAATACTCTGCATTCTTTTCAAGAGAAAGTAGAAGAAACAGAATTAGCAATATTTATAGCAGATGATGTTTCTGCCCTAGGCTACCTTGCTTTTTAAATCTTTTCTCCTTCTGGAATGTTCTGCCTTCTTACCCCTCTTCAAGATGGTGTTTGAGAGAACCATATGCTTCCAGCCATTTCTTTTCAGGGAGAAGCAAACAGCTAAATCATCTATGTGGGCAAAGTTTAATATAGGGAGTTCTTTTATTTTGGAGTTGTATGCGTCACTTTTTTTCTTCATATCACATCATTTGCCAATTCAAGCAACATTCCAAAAATCAGATGTGAATAGTCGAGTACTAAAATTCTGCTTTGGGTTTAGTCACTGTAAAACAAGTTTTATTGAAAATAGAAAGCTTGTCAGTGTGTAGATATTTGGTTTACCTTTAATTGGCTTCTTCCTTATTATCGGTAAGAAAATAGGGAGATTGTTTAATTAATGCCCTTGATAAGGACCTTGTGATTATGACTATTGTGCCTACTCATTTACTTGAATGAGCTCTATTTCTAATCTTCATTAGCCAAGAGAGTCATGGAACTAATACTGGTCCCTAAGTTTGAATACATGTGTGCACATTAGAATCATGTTTGATATAGGTTGGTGTGTCACTGATCTAGGTTCAGTAGAAAATAAATTACAGGGACATAACCATTTTTTTGAAGAATTTTCATTTTCTATCAAGGTATGGTGATGTACTCTTGTAGTACCAGCTACTGTGGAGGCTGAGGCAAAGAATCACTTGAGCTCAGAATGTTATGAAGCTGGGGCCTTCCAGAAAACTGAGACAGCATGAAGACCCACCCTTCAAACCCTAATTCTTAATCTAGTCACAAAGATTTCAGACATGCCACTCAGAGTAACAGGAATGAGTTTATTGAAGGGATACGAAAAGGGAAAGGGGAAACTCTCAAGGGAGGGAGTGGGTCCTCTCAGAAAGGAGAGGAACAATGTGCCTCTCCTGGACTCCAGTTTTATTGGGGATCCCAGATAAGTTTCCAGAGAGTCCCGCCCAGGTCCACCTCTTGACTTTTGACTGACAGCAGGTTGACATCAGACTTTCAAGTGCCTGTTGCATGACAACTCTATGATACCCTGGCTTGTGATGAGTGGTTTTAATTGGACTCTTAATCATTTTTACATGTTTTATGGTCAGGAGGAACTATCCTTATCTTTTAGGATCTGATTTGTGAAGAGGGTCACAAAAGTTTCCCTTCAAAGTAACTTGGGTTCTTTTTATCAATATTTTTTATCAATATTTTATCAATATTTCCTGCTTACATTTCTTTACAGATAACAGGTAGTTTATTGAGGAATGTGACATATCCTGTCCACTTAGGCCAGGCAGGCAAAATTGCTTTTTGGCAAAGAAAGCATGTGGGGTCACCACAGTGAGCCCATTTTATAGAATTATTCTCTTAACCTCATGTTTCCACCATCCTCATCTGTCTGTCCCCTAACCAGAACTTAGACCAGAAAACCAGGCTGGGCAACATAGGAGACATTACCTTAAAAAAAAAAAAAAAAAAAAAAAGGAGGGAAATCACATCTTTTAGAATTTTAAGAACTAATTGAGTTTTTCTAGAATTTTGGAAAAATAGAATAAATTTAAATTAGCTAAAAAATTAAGACTTAAAAAGAAACTTGAAATGTCAGTGTTTATATATATATATAATATTAATTTGTGTGGGCATGTTTTCAAAGCATTCTCTGTGGTTTTTGGGACAGGGTTTTTCTGACGTAAATGGTGTTTTTCTCTTGAATTAGCATCAGGACTTTTTTTTTTTTTTGTATACTAGCTATGTCTGCTGCAACCACTCCAAAATCAGATGTCATTTAGCAGATTGGAAAATTTTTCATGATATTGATAGGTCCTATGATTAAATTGTGAGATGACAGAAGTTAATATTAACTACGAAGTATGTTATTCTCTTCATCCTTCAGGACTGCATTAGTACTATGACATTAAACAATTGTGAAAAGTGTGTGGGAGGACAGTGCCTTACTTTTTGTACACCTTACCTGCAGGGTATGAAATGAACTATTGAATAAATCAGTTACTCAGTGATGAGATTTTAGAGCCCCATTTTCAACCACAATTAAGCAGAAAAATTCCAATACTATTGTGTTTCCTTTTTTGTTATTGTTTGGCAGTGCTGGGAATTGAACCTAGGGTCTCACACATGCTAAGGAAATGCTTTACCACTGAGCTACATCCCTAGCCCCTATTGTGTATCTTTTATACCACACACAGTTTTACTATCTAGGTGTAGAATTGGAGGTGCAGAAGAACTGTGGGTTACAGGTGGGAGAAACAAATTGGAGGAATTTGGTTAGGGACTTGAGACAAAATGAGAATGGGGCTCAGGCTTTGGAGAAATTTCCAAGCTAGAAATAATAGACTTGGAGGTATGTATTAGTCCTCTTTTTGTCACTGACCAAAATTTCTGACAAGGATAACTTAGAGGGAAAGTTTATTTGGGCTCATGGTTTCAGAGGTTCAGTCTGTTTTGGGCCAACTCCATTGCTCTGGGCCCAAGTGAGAGAGAACCTCATGATGGAAGGACATGGTGCTCCATTCATGATAGCCAGGAAGCAGAGGAAGGGATCACAGGGAAGTTAACCCCCAGTGACCCACCTCTAGCCATACTCCACCTGCCTACAGTTACCACCTAGCTCACTCAAATTAGGATGTACTGATTAGGTTACAGCTCTCACAATTCAGCCATTTCACCTCTGAATATTTTCCTGCATTAATACAGGAGCTTTGCCAGGTGGGGATTCCTCATATCCAAACCATAATAGAGTAATCAACAGAATTTCTAGTAGTGTGATAGTAGTAAAAGCACA